CTTGCAGTTGATGGAGATTTGTGGGATGCACATCCAGGGCACGAAACTCCCGTTCCACCAAATCCCAAAGATGCTCTATTGGTTTGAGATCTGGTGACTGTGCGGGCCATTGTAGTACAGTGAACTCATTGTCATGTTCAAGAAACCAATTTGAAATGATTCGAGCTTTGTGACATGGTGCATTATCCTGCTGGAAGTAGCCATCAGAGGATGGGTACATGGTGGTCATAAAGGGATGGACATGGTCAGAAACAATGGCCGTGGCATTTAAACGATGCCCAATTGGCACTAAGGGGCCTAAAGTGTGCCAAGAAAACATCCCCCACACCATTACACCACCACCACCAGCCTGCACAGTGGTAACAAGGCATGATGGATCCATGTTCTCATTCTGTTTACGCCAAATTCTGACTCTACCATTTGAATGTCTCAACAGAAATCGAGACTCATCAGACCAGGCAACATTTTTCCAGTCTTCAACTGTCCAATTTTGGTGAGCTCGTGCAAATTGTAGCCTCTTTTTCCTATTTGTAGTGGAGATGAGTGGTACCCGGTGGGGTCTTCTGCTGTTGTAGCCCATCCGCCTCAAGGTTGTGCGTGTTGTGGCTTCACAAATGCTTTGCTGCATACCTCGGTTGTAACGAGTGGTTATCTCAGTCAAAGTTGCTCTTCTATCAGCTTGAATCAGTCGGCCCATTCTCCTCTGACCTCTAGCATCAACAAGGCATTTTCGCCCACAGGACTGCCGCATACTGGATGTTTTTCCCTTTGCACACCATTCTTTGTAAACCCTAGAAATGGTTGTGCGTGAAAATCCCAGTAACTGAGCAGATTGTGAAATACTCAGACCGGCCCGTCTGGCACCAACAACCATGCCACGCTCAAACTTGCTTAAATCACCTTTCTTTCCCATTCTGACATTCAGTTTGGAGTTCAGGAGATTGTCTTGACCAGGACCACACCCCTAAATGCATTGAAGCAACTGCCATGAAATTGAACAGGTGTTCCTAATAATCCTTTAGGTGAGTGTATATCTTACACAGGGGGGGGTGTCGAAGGCTGAAGAATCGTTGATAGTGCTATGCCTTTCCACGGCGAAGGTGATGGTGATGGTGATGATGGTGATGGTGATGGTGATGATGTTGATGGTGGTGATGAAGGTGATGGTGATGGTGATGGCCCATCCTGGGTGTCCCTCGCCTCATGTCGTCGGCTTCCCAGGACAAGCTCCAGGTAACTGTGAACATAACTGGATAAGCAGAAATTGAGAACAGATGGATATATTCCAATGTAGGGCTTGTTCATCCAGTTATTCTCCCACTTACACTGGTTCGTTTGGTCAATCAAGTTCATGAAAAGCATGTTTTACCGATTCTTCAAAGCTTCTTAGCAAATAGGTGATTGTTTATCAGTGCCTTAGTCAATGAATTGTAACAAAGCATTACACTCGAGGGCAAATCTTGAAGTTGAGCATTACGGAGGTTGAGGTCCAGTGGGTTGTATTGGCTTGGGGAGGGGGTGAGGTTCAGAGGGTCGTATTGTTTGGCTTTGACTACTGGGCGGGGGGGGGTTTACAACCAAGGCTGTAGCCATGGAGTCAACACTGGGGAGGGAATCAAGGCTGTAATTATACTATGTACTGGGGATACATTGTGAACACATCTAAATAATGGGGATGACATTTCCCCCAGTATACCCAGTATATTATAATTATAACCTTAGTTACAACCCCCTCCCCCCCAATAATTTACGCCCATGATTACACCGATTGTAAGCCTATAGTTTGCGCATTTTTACTGATGGATAAACTATAAAAGAAATGTGTTTCCACTGATAACAAAACATAGAATCCTAAAACAATGTCTTTTGTTGTTTAACGGGAATTGACATCTGACAGAATATTAAATATTTGAATTGCTGGATCTTTCATTAAAGATGCTTAATCCTTTCCATGTCCTTAAATTGGAGCTCGATTTGTTTTGAGTAAATGCATGCGTAGGTGTGCGCGCTTTCCGCGCTTAATGCGCGCCACCATCAAAGGGTTGAAAGCCAGCGTTTCTTCATCGACCATAAGCCACGAGGCTGACAACAAATTCACGATATGTTGCACTGTCGCACGCATTAGAATATCTCCCACAGGGGAAAAAGGAAACATGTTTGAAATTAATCATGAGTACTTCTTATTGATATTTTTATGTGTTTGGTTTCAGGATAACTAATTTATGTTGCAATTGTATCCCGCTGTAAAGAACACAACTGAGCTAAAGCAGAAAGTCTCCACTCTGTAGTCTGATGATTTTAATCACTTGCGGAATTTCCACTAAATAGTTCGATTTAAAAATTAGAGACAGGCAGGGTAATTGCATGCGTGTTAATTCTTTTATGAAGTGGTTTGCGCATATGCCGTTCAATAAGTGCAACAACCGTGGCTGTTCAAAACACTAACGTGTTTTATCATTTGGGTATGAACGGCACTGTGATACGACCTTACTGTGGGAGTACCGTGTGTTTTTAGGGGAGAGGGGGGGTTCGGGACTGATTTGGTCTCTACCAATGTTGAAACTAAACCTACGCCCTCGGTTTTATCGCTTCAATCGTGTTTAATGCTGATTCATTTGGCGGATTTATTACTTGCAGAGACTGCTCCCTGTGCTGAGACTAGTCACAGGGCTTTTGTACCAGGTGGGGGTCAGTTATTGGCTATGAAAATGGGTGTGTGCTGCCACAGTGATACACCTGAGATTAAATTCTGACAGCCCTGTATTCACCCAATGCAATCCGCTACTGGCTTTTTAAATATAATATTTCTTAGTTACTTTGTCACGTTACTATTTATAATTAGATCGAGCTTGTTCTATATTTTAATCGAAGCACTGGATATGCTTTTTGTATTTTTAAATCACAGAAATGTTTATACAAGTATCATTTTGGAAACTTACCTACTTTGGGAACAGGCAAATTAAAGGTTTTTCAGTGTAACTGGGTATAAAGATGAATCTGCTAAAGATGACTATTGCCCTCAGCTCTGTGTGTTCATATACTGAACAAATAACTATTACGAATGCAAATTTCACCGTTTTCACATAAGCTAAACTGGCACGCAATTGTGTGAAACAAAACCGCGTCATTCGATTATTATTCAGTTCAAAATCACTGAGATCCGTTTTGCATGAGCTTCGAAAGCTATGCTCGAGAGCTGGGCAGTCACCCTCCTGCTTTATCACCCTAAATGTAATTGCCCCCTTTGTGGATCGTGGTTTCGACAGAAACCGCAAATGATCCTCGATTCATTCATCCGGCCGCAGGAGTGCGAATGAAAGGTGGCAATTTGATTCCCCTCCGTGTAAGTTTATCTTTGCAGTTTCTTCGGGCCTTCATAATTTGGCAGCGACTCGACCCAAGATGGCATTGTTGCATGTCCTGTGGCGCATCAAGCGCGACTCTTTGCCTCCGACAGAAGATATTATATGGACATCGTTCTTCTAGAAGGTCCGTAGTTCATGCTGGCCATGTAAAGCAGTGAGAAATTAAATGTTATGGCCCTTACAGACTACAGGGCATACAAAAAGGCGTCAGGGGGCTAGTTCGTTAGTATTACAACGAAAAATGTGTCTTTGAAATTCCAGTAGCATTTTCTGTTTAGGGGCGGCATGGTGGTGCAGTGGTTAGCACTGTTGCCTCGCACCTCTGGGACCTGGGTTTGAGTCTCCGCCTGGGTCACATGTGTGTGGAGTTTGCATGTTCTCCCCGTGTCGTCGTGGGGTTTCCTCCGGGTGCTCCGGTTTCCCCCCACAATCCAAAGACATGCTGAGGCTAATTGACATTGCTAAATTGCCCTTAGGTGTGCATGTGTGAGTGCCTGGTGTGTGAGTGTGCCCTGCGATGGGCTGGCACGCACGCAACCCCCATCCAGGGTTGTTCCCTGCCTCGTGCCCGTTGCTTCCGGGATAGGCTCCGGACCCCCCGCGTCACCCAGTAGGATAAGCGGGTTGGACAATGGATGGATGGATTTTCTGTTTAATTTCATATATAGGCCTAATTCTAGGGGACTGGGTTTTCATCCATTTCGGATTTCCTCTTCATCGCTTGCGGCGAACAAAGGTTAGTTGCCACAGCATCGAATAACGGCTTGCGCTTAACTTTGTATTAATTTCAAACGTTTTTTTTTAAAAAAAAAAAAAAAAAAGAGCATTGCTTTTGCATGGTGCTCCGTAGCTTTTGCTATGACTGTCATAAAGTAGCGGTGATCAGTGCCTGAAGTGGGGAAAACCGGGTGCCTGTACAGCCCTTGTTATTCGGTACTCCCAGATACTGAGAGGTACCGGTAGGCTACTGCGTACCTGTGAGTACCGCTGACTTAAAGCACTGGGGGTGACAGAGGGAGGCCCAGTGTGACGTTTCCCCTGAGAGCTGTCTAAACTCTAAATAGTTACGTTCTGCACTCGCCTCTTTGGGTGAGAAACTAGGTATTAGCGCCGTATTTATGTCAGCAGGTGTGTGGTGATACGGTTTAACTGAATTGCACATAAAATAGATCTTACTATTTAATGTTTTCATCTTAATCACTGTACAGTTAATGGAAATGTAAAGCAAGTTTTCTTGAGGCACGAGGTCTGATGTGTTTTTCTGCTTTATTTTAAACACAGCCTCCCAAAAGGCAACGTCACTGTAACATCGGAGTTAGTCTATTAATCATGCTTCCGTGCAACTTAAAATTTTGCGGGGATTGAACAGTACAGACCCAAAAAAATAATAGTAAAAAAAAAATCACAACTCCAATCACTGTTAAACTGCGTATTTCACGCAAATGAAGTAATCTTGAGCGTTAGGTAGGGCATTGTGATGCAAAGGTGGAAGAAACCTGGGAACCCAGCCCACGGACGGCCCAATCAGGAGCGCGCAGCCAATGTTGTTGGAAGGCCAGGCCCCGCCCCACGTGCCCCTGTAATCCAATCTGCTGCTCAGTCACAGGTAAAACCGGCCTCTGAATCTGACTATACCTCAAAAAGCGAGAAAAGCCAACAAAACCCGTTCTTTTAGGGACAACCTTAACATTGCCCTCATCCCGCTTCTTTAAGAAGTTTTTCAGGTAAAGAGGCCGGATCGGATTTACCGTATAACTAGTAAGTCCAGTTTGACCGACCAAGATGACACAGGAACATGACAAGTAAGTGAACTCTGTCAGGGGTGTAAGTCCAGTAGAACCGGTGTGTATGTGTCTGGTGCTGAACATTTCACCAATTTTATCAGTTGTGGAATAATCTACTGATAACTGCATTTATGTACTGTGACATTTTCAAAGGTTGAAGGATTGCCTTTTTTGCTTCTTGGTCCTATGACTTGGAAAGAATCTGTTGACTTTTTTGCCTGCCTGCCGAGTTGCCGGCTTGACTGTCGGACTTGGGGAGTCGGGCATAGGTGCGCGCGCCTCACCTGTCATGTTGCAGCCTGCGCCGCTCGCGCAGGTGCATGTGCACCTGCTCTACTTGTTGGAGCATATTTCTGCCTGTTTTGTCTTCTCGCGTAGTTTTTGACATTTACCATCGTTTTGTTTCTTTTTTTTCCACCCGAAAAACGCTTTTTCCTTGAAAGTCAAAGTCTAAAGACAATTTCTGGACACCGACAGAATTTCATCTGGGCTAGATTCTGCTGTTAGTAACAACCGGTGGTGTATTTTCTATTCTTCTTGGTTTCTGATGTACAGGATCGCTCCTAACTGGCATTTTCTGTTAACGAGTAAAAGTGTTTTAACGAATAAAACGTTTTTCACTTTTTCCCTCATTTCATTTTTTTTTGTATTGCATTAAGACTTCTGGCTGAAGTTTGGCCAAGTGTTCTCACTGGGACCGACCCTATATGCATCTTTCCGGTAAATGACTTACTGTAGGGGTCTGTTTATTTTAAATAGTTTTAAAATATTCGTTATATGTCAGCGTTTCCCTTGCATCTAAAGGTACTGACAAGGAGAACGTTGACTCTAGTGAAATAGTACACCTACAAGGCGTTGGCTGCCTTGCCTTTAAAATCTCTTAGAGGAATATTGTGTCAGCAAAGCAAAGACATTTTAGACAACAGTCACCGAGTATCGTTATTTGTTTCGTGACAAGTTTTTTTTTCTTACGGGGTTGCTTCTTCAGCGCACGCGAATGCAATGACAATAAGTTATGCTATTTATGGAAAAAGCGAAAGCCGCCGCCTTGCCGGGTATCACGTTTCCGTTGCCAAAACGTTTTTTAGCCGTATATTTGTTGTATTTTGGGCACATTTTCTGCACTACATTTTAATCACTGTTATCTTAGATGCAGATTGTTGATGTAATTTGTCCAAACCTTTAAAGAATGCAGCATGGTCATTAATTACAGACCGAAAAACAAAGGTGTGCTATTATTTATAGCTATTCATGCAAGTAGAATCCGGACGGGATTTCCTTTTAACACAACGAAACGATTCTCTTCGTTTGAAATAAGTTGGCACTTCTTATCTGAGGTTTTATGTGGCCGCGTTAGAGCATTATTATAGGCTCGAGCCATGCATGGCCGAGTCCTTTGTTTTAATGAAGGATTGCATGTCCACTTGTGTGTTTAGTCCCACGAAATAACGGATCTATCGGATTGCAAATCCAAAATGTATTAATCGACCCGGGGGACTTTTGTGAATTACACAATTAGATATAGGATTACTAATAATATACTTCTTTTGATCACTAGCTAGGCGACGGATCGACTCTTTCCCTATACCAAACAAACAAAAAGGAATATACAGTCAGTAGATCTGCATACCTGCAACCGATACATGTCTACGACATTTGGGGAGGCACATTAAACAATTAGACCATATCATATGGACCTATCCTATGTATAAAACACGCAATTGACTAAAAGACGCTGTGTTTTTTGTTTCGATGATGACGATAGTCCAAATTTAATTGAATAAATTAAAATGGTGAAATAAGCGCGAGAGGATTTGGGTCACCCAGCTAAACACAGGAAAATCAACAAATATTCCTTACCCTTTTTAATGTATAATTTAGCTAGAATGCTTTGTTTGACATTCGAGGGCACTATTTAGGTTTAGCGTTGACAGGACGCGTCGTCAATATTTGCACTTTCAACAGACGTTTTACCTTAAACAAGTGAAATTATCACGTGTGCAGCGATGCCACGGATCGCATTGCGTAACCACAACGCAAAGAACAAAATTCAAATCCTTTTCTTATTTTGGCTGGAATGATTAAAGTGTGTAAATCGATAGTGTAAATGTTTAGTGAGGTTCCCGCTCATTTGGTTGCTTTACAGACCTGTGTTTTTTTTTGTTAGAAGGTCCAAAGAGAGATAAATAGATACAAAAGAAAATTACATGCAAAGTAGTAGTAAGTGTTCATCTCTTTTATTTAAATTATCTACGTACGATGTGTTTTGTATTTCAGGACTACAACTGTCTAACAACACTGTCTTTCCATACGTGATTTAACTGTATGCCAAACCCCACCCGTGTCAACCCCCCCCCAAAGCACAGTCATACATATGGGATCCACATCTCATTTTCAGATGTTTTACGGATTTCTGAAAACACTGGATGTGAACAGTCATGACAATGATGATGAGGAAGATAACTAATTTAAGACGGGGCAGTCCAGAATTTTCCCCTCAGCCACTGTATTTGATCTTTCTTGGTAGATTATTTGTATCAGACCAGCACAAATACCCCCTCCCCCCAGAGTCACCTAGCTTAACGAGTAGGTGTTGCACCATCTTAATTATGGCTAACACTTCCTGCTCAGAGATGGCTAAGGTGCAGGATACAATGCATTAAAGATGGATTCCTACCAAAAATCTGTTGAATTTCCTTTTATATTTTCTGAGACACCTGTGTAAAAAGTGTTAAAGACCCTTAGTATTTGAGCTTGGACTGGCTTATTTTTAAAATACACACATTCCCATTAAAGTCTCTTATATTCACTTATTACAATGCATCCATTTTGTAAGAAGTCCAACCTCCCAACGGAAAAATGAGGAAGTTCTCAGATTGTTGCATATCCTGTGCTGGCTCCTCTACTTTATAATCCTATGGGCTTGTAAGGTTCCTCCGGCTGTCCTGCTTGACGGTGGCTTCCCTGGCTTTATTTCTGTAGCAAGAGAGCGGTGTTGGTGCTACAGAATGACCCTGGCTACAGCCAGAGGAGATCCTTCACGAACGAGGACGAGGCCTGGAAATCCTTCTTGGAGAACCCCCTGACGGTCGCCACCAAGGCTATGATGAGCATCAATGGAGACGAGGACAGCGCAGCAGCTCTGGGACTCCTCTATGACTACTACAAGGTACTGTTCATAGGCTGGGAGGGCGTGGGTCACAAAGACCTCAGAGGGGCCCCTTCTGGTTTCCTCTTTGAAGTCAGTCACTTATGGAACATCATCTGACGACATGTTTTTTTTTTTTTGCCGGGGTGTTCAGTGTTCCATTATCCGAGAAACCTGCATCTCGATCACCTATCTGTTAAACTGATAAACAGCTAGGAAAGGTAGATGTGACAGGTGGTGTGACGTCGTTCTATGGATCTGCTCGGAGTGGACCAATCAGTTGAGTTATCGATTAGAAGAATTGGATGTGAGAGACGGCAGAGGGATTTGATGTGTAGTGAGGGACCTGCTGGCTGCAGGATGTGGTCAGAGCCACGCAGATAATGTTTGCTTTCCACAGGTGCCACGGGAAAAGAGAACAATATCACCGGGCAAGACAGATGTGCTGGGATCTGATGTGGATCCCAACAAAAGGTAATTCGGCTCTTTGATGCCATGGCTGCTCAGTAAAGAGGCTCCCTTCCTGTGATCGAGGGCATTCTGTTCGCGTGTGTTAGCATCTCTGCCGGGTTTTTCATGTCATTCACTGTTTGAAATGTGTCTTTTCACCCACGTCGATCCTTGGCACGGAAGCACCATTGGAGATTTTTTTCTTTTGCGGCACGGAGTAGACAATAATGGTGATGTTGATCAATTTTCCGACCAAAATGCTTTCTCAAGCACACCGATTTTTTTTTTTAATCATTGCGATCATTACACATCATATGGGTATGATTGCTGGTATAATGGAAACGTTAAAAACAGGCTTCGTTACGTTTATGAAAATATTTCAAAAGAGCAAGACATGGGAGGCAGCCAAAAATGTCAAAGAATGCTAGGATGTTTGCGCTGGAAAATCGATATGGGAGACAAACGTTTCCGAAGCAGCCGTGAAATTCAATACCTGCAGAGAATTTAGGAACTGGGAGGAATCCGGGGGCACGGTGCGCCGGGCGCGGTCGTGGGCGGCGCTGACCTGACCGTCCCCTGTCTGCGTTCACCGGCAGGAACCACATGGTGCCAATTCAGGAGGCTCCCATGGCGTCGGGGGAGAACAGAATCCAGGTCCTGAAGGGCGTCCCGTTCAACATCGTCCTCCCGAACCAGCTCGGGCAGGACAAGAGGGCACCATTCCCTTCCCCAGACACCACGGTCACTGTGTCCATCGCTGCCGTGCCCAGCTACCCGGTGAAGACGGAGGGCGTTTCGCATGGCTTCCCCGTGCCGGCGCCACCGGGCGCCCACTGCGCCGAGCCAGACGGGCACGGCGTGCCGTTCGAGCGCTCGAGCAACCACAGCCAGTTTAGCCCCTGCACGCAGCCCCGCACCCCCGACTCCACGTTCCCGGAGACCTTCAAGGACAGCTCCCAGGAGGTACGACGAGAGGCCTCAGCCCGCCGGTCATAAACCCCAGCCCCCCCCCCCCCCCCGCCACGCCAGCGTCCCTCCATACAATACCCCTTTCACCTGTGCCTCTGGAGCCAGGGCTACGCTTAACCCTACCTGGTTCTATTTGAACTTGCCAAAATAGCGGCTAGCATGTTATTATTCCATTGTCCGCTGAATACAATAAGACGCTGTACTTTTCTCTTACAATAGCAAAACCTTTTCTCTTCCCTTTCTGTATTTAACCTGGGGGGGTTGGGGTGGGGGATTACATTAAAAGGATAGTCCAACAAAACCCTATACAGGAGCAGTGGTGGGGGCAACGCTTTGTTTTCCCTTGGCTGAGAGAGTCCCCCAGCTCCCTGGGAGCGAGTCCATGTTGTCGATGTTTGTGTAATGCTGGTCCTCTACCCCCCCACCCCCACTCCCGCTACCCCACCCTTTGTCCACTGCAGGTGTTCCCTTTCCCTGGGGATCTCCAGTTACGCATGCCCCCCATTGCGCAGGATGATTACACCAGCTTCGATACCGTCTTGAGGTAGGCCTATCCAGTCCCCCCCCCCACCCCAGCCGACAGGCTTTTCCGTTAAGCAGGCCTCGCTTTTCTCACTTCCTCAAAGTTCTAAGCCTTGGAAAACAAAATCATTTTCGGTCCAAGATTTGTCACTGAGTGGAACTTTCACCATTGTTCCCTGCTTAAGAGTTGTTCTGATTCTCAGGAACACACTGCATGCATCTCAATGCGTCTGAAGTCTAAGAAAATGGAGGGTCTTCCTAAACTATATGTCTGCTCTTCCTCCTCAGTAATAACTTTGAATACACACTGGAGGCTTCCAAGTCTCTCCGGCAGAAGTCTGGCGACGGCACCATGACATACCTCAACAAGGGCCAATTCTATCCCATCAGCCTTCGGGAAACCGACAACAACAGCAAGGTCTTACACCACCCTATCAGCAAAGTCCGGGTAAGGGTGACACCAGAACGCAGCATCTCGGGAAACGTGGTTCTTGGTTAGGGTTTGTTGTTAGACTCTTGCTGTTGGGCTGCTGACTATGTTGGGCGTTTGAGCAGGTGCGTCCATCCGCCTGTGGTTTGTGGTCTGACGCTTGCGACTCGCTGTTTTCCAGAGTGTGGTGATGGTGGTGTTCGGGGAGGAGAAATGCCGGGAAGACCAGCTCAAGCACTGGAAGTACTGGCACTCCCGGCAGCACACAGCGAAGCAGCGCTGCATCGACATCGGTAGGACGCGCTTCTCTCGATCAGCCGCCCACCTAAATTCTTGCGCAGGAGAACCCTCAGATTTGAGCCATTCTAGTGGTTCCTTCACTGTGTGCACGTTATCGCCACAGTCTACAGGTCCCACACAGGCCATGTGTGCATGTTTTTTTTTCATAGTTACGTTCCATCGAGTGAATGTTGGCAAACGTAGGTAGTGTTCTTCCAGAATATTCTGGTCTGGGTCTTCCTGCATGCTTGTACTTCCCTTAAACCAACGAACCTTGAGAATCTTGGGACTTCCTTGAACATAAACTACCTCGACCCAAAAAAAGGAGGGAAAGGGAGAATAGGGAATATAAGCAGGGTTGCCCCCCCTAGTGGTCTGTTATGTCATCAAATTTTGGTGGGATGTGTGCGTATGTCTGGCTGGGGAAACGTGCCCTCAACGGCGGCTTCTGAAGAGGACAATGGAACGGCTTAGTTCCTGAGAGAAGACCGACAATCCGTCATCCATCTTGCACTGTGGAGCATGTATGGCGTGTGAAAGAGAAGCTTAACTATGTGAGAGATGGGTAAACGTGTTGTTGTACTTCAGCTTATGTGGACCAGAGGGAGGGGTGGATGTCTGGGGGGGAGGGAAGCGCTTCTAAACGGCTTGTTTAGGATATGGTTCAACTCATACAGGCGCCGTTGTGCGAGTCAGTGTCGATGCATCGATTGAGAATGTCTTCTGTTTCGTGAAAGAAGAAGAGCGTTCTACTTTCAGGGGGATTGGGTGTGACCGGGGTCAGTTCCCCATGGAACCAACCGGTACTGGGACAACTACTGGAAGTGAAACTGGAAAAGAAAGCACAGAATAGGGTACTTGTCTTGTCAGATAGTATCACCATGGATGATGGGTCTGAGATAATGGTGGAGAGGAGCTCATCCAGCCATGGATGCAGTCAAAGACCAGGGCAACAATGTTGGAGATCTAGGCCAACTATTGTGTCATTCTTGTCCACATGTGGAATTCTGACTAAAAGGTCAATACCATTCTCATCATAATATCCACTGTCCATACGTGATTCAATAATAATGACACTTCTACTGATCCTCTTTGGGAAATCCGCTTTTCCACCCACCCCATCTTGCTCGCCATGACACGCATGTAGATGAGAGCAAGCTTGGTGGCGAAGGGCAGCCACCTGCAGCGGCCCCCATGGAGCTGGGGGGTTAAGGGCCTTTCAAGGGCCCACAGACATGTGACTGTTCTGTTGAAGAACAGTCCACTCTGACTTCTGATCAGCGGCAGGGAGGCTTAGCCCTCTGAGCCACACGCTGCCTCCATCACAGAACATCACCGTGCATATGATTATAATCCACGTCTCTCCATCCTTTATGTCTTTGTAGCCAATTTTCTGTCTGTTGAAACCACAGGACGTCAACGGGGCGTCAGCTGTAAGTCCCAACCACTAACTCTATACCCGTCATCCGGTCCCCTACAGCCGACTACAAAGAGAGCTTCAACACGATCAGCAACATCGAGGAGATCGCCTACAACGCCATCTCCTTCACGTGGGACATCAACGAGGAGGCGAAGGTGAGCGAGTAGAACACACTCACCGCAGATGGTGTAGGATCCCTTTTACTGAGCCCGTGGCGTGTTCTCACAATAGATGCTCACTGACGTTCCTGTATTACACCCTGCGAGTACTGCCTTAAGAAAGGACATATTTACACTGGCTTTGGTTGTGAGACAGCCTTGTTCAGATGTCACCTAAAGCCAGTTGACCTGTTTATGTTATTGTTTGGTTAACGCGCATTCCGAACAAGACAGTTCCTCTTAAAGAGGGTGTGCAGGGCATTTGGGAGGCATGAAAAAGGTGGTTGTTGAAATGAACAAAGCTTCATTAGGGTAAAAATGGGGAAGTCTGACTTAAGGGGCTTTTTATGCTTTTCTTGTTCTTCTCCGTTTTATCCCGTGAAGGCCTCCTTCGCACACACAGCTCTCCCTTTATGGCTGGTGACATCAAGTGGCTTTTGTCACAGAGGGTGCCATCCCAGTTCGCCCCGGCCACGACATCAGTCTGTTCCCCAGTGGCGCCCGTCGTCCGGGACGCCCGGGCGATGCGAGCATGCGCTCCTGTGGCTCGGCGGCGACATTTTCTCGCCTGTCACACCTGTCACACCTATTGTCACCTCATGTGATGTATGGAGGAAAAGGCCTTCGGGCGAGACGAGCCCAACAATGAGAGCTGGAATGAGGAAACAGGGCAGGAGCGGAGTTTTTCAGCTTGATGGCTAGTAATGGAATCCCGTCCAACGGGTACAACGTTTTACCGCTCTGACAGTGACTGCAGGAGATTACTCACCAGTCACTCTATATGCAGGCTTTTCGCCTCCATTGAAATAGGTGACTTAAAAATGCCAGAATTGGGTTCTAAAAAAAAAAAAAAAACATTCTCCCCGCTCTGCTGCTGACAGCAAACAGAAGCGCAGGCGTCGGCAGCTCCTTGTTGTCTTTTCCATAGTGTTTTCCTTGCTCCCGGATATGAGGCGGCGGTGGTCACGTGGTTTGGTGGTCACAGGACACCCATCCTTTTGCTCACGCTACGTTGTCTGTTTGCTTGAGCCCAGGGAAGCTTAGCAGAGCAGGGAGAGGAGCTCGCAAGTTTAGGAGCTGGTCTCCGTGACCAGCAGGAAGTTCTCACTGAACATGGAAAGTCACCAGTATGTGTATGAAACGAAGCACTAATGATATCTATGAGTGTACATCATTTATCCCAATGGTGCATTTCTGTCTACCACAATATTGCCCCCTGGTGGCAATAAATAGAAAACATCGTCTAAATGTTCAATATATTCATCTAGTCCAGTAATTTAGTTGTATTAAAACACTTAAAGGAGAGATTGAAGGTTTTCTTGTCATACTAATGAGAAAATTATCTTTTAGGCAAAGTAGAAAATGAAATATTAAACACTGTATATAGTAAACAACAAAGTATTGAAACATCAATACTCACTGTTTTTTGGTATCTATATATCAATTAGTCGCAATCAGCAAAGGATCTTAAAATATCAGTTGTCAAGTATTATAAGTGGAAATTTGACTTTCGAATTAAACAGTGCTTTAAGAGCAAATAAAATGTGTAATTACACCAATCCTCCAAAAGGGGGAGACATGCTCACATACTCTGCACAGTTGCACCTTTGTCTGCCGTTGCTGTAGCTAACCGGTCACCGAGTTGCTTCCTAGGAGTTGCTTCCTACATATGGAAACCATTACTAAAATCCAGTGTTGTGCCTCCTCCTCCCCGCAGATCTTCATCGCGGTGAACTGCCTGAGCACAGACTTCTCCTGCCAGAAAGGCGTGAAGGGTTTACCCCTCAACCTGCAGATCGACACCTACAGCTACAACAACCGCAGCAACAGGCCCATCCACCGAGCCTGCTGCCAGATCAAGGTGTTCTGCGACAAGGGCGCCGAGCGCAAGATCCGTGACGAGGAGAGGAAGCAGACGCGCCGGAAGGGGAAGTGCGTAGACCTGAACACCAACCTCAGCAGCTGTGAGTACATGCCCCCTACTGGCCACACCCAGGTGGAGCGGGTTCTGGTCTAATTCGGTTATTTAAATTTGTCTATTTAGTGGATGCTTTTGTCTACTAAATCCAGTTCACCGATGCAATATGCAATGGACAATGGAGAATTTAAACAAATTCTCCATTTTCCATCCATTCTCCATCCCTCCTGTGCGGGTTGCCCTATTTCGATCATTATGGCTGAGTCGTGTGCCCCCCCCCCCCTCCAGATGTGGATGTGAAGATGCCTACATTGCTGCACAAGCGCAGTGACGTCACCACCTTCAAGGTGATGACTGACTTCGACACCCAGCCGGTCCTTTTCATCCCCGATATCCACTTCTCCAACTTCCAGCGCCACGTGAGTAACACGCCCCAACTCCAATCCTTACCGCTTGGTCAGCGAATGATCGATGAAGTCAGTATCCTATTCTTACTAATGACACCTTTTTAAAAACACGCTTAAAATCAGCTTCTCCAAGTTTTGGTTATGAGGGCTTCTGCTGTGTGAACCGGATATCAAGCCAACCAAACAAAGATTAACCGATTCTCAAATGTCAAGTAACGTTTAACATGTCGACACATATTAGCTTGTTTCGCAATGCTTTAATAAAAATAAAATAAGCCAATGACGTTTGTTCTGGAAGATTCCATTCTTTCTGGAATTTGCACGAACATTAAAGTGATAATTGGGGTCAACTGTTCGCCGTTACGAATTTGCTTCCACCCTGTCCTTGTACGGTAACCCACCTAGCCCACCCCCCCACACACAGACTAACATCAGGTGTTTGCAGAGATATGCACTGTACATAGAACCAAAGGCTACGATCTCTCCTGGGGAGACGCGCAGAGGCACAGTGAGGGGAGTCTGGGGTTTTTTCCGCATACAGACTGTTCGCCGTCGTTAGTGGGCCCGACGGCACCCGCCTCTTCCTGTTTTTCTAGCGGTGGTTACATGACGGGCCCTTATCTATCTGACATGTCATCGCGGCCGTGACTCCCTGAGCCAAAATGTCATGAACTGAACGTCCTCCTGGCCTCCTGCCTTTATGCTTTAAGGTTTATGGTTTAATTTGGCATGACTGAGATAAGCAGACGCATTAGGACAGGAATAAATTTGTCATACTGGGTTATAAATACAAATATAAATACATTTGAAATGAACACATTTTTAAAATAAGACTGGATCAGTTCGATTATATATGGACTAGATGAAATCTAATACGGTCTAGAAAAGATATTTTAAGAAGTCAATTTTTCCCTCTCTACAAGTGGGCCAGTTTTGATAATAAGCTTTGGTTTGCCCTTGGGTGCTAATATGGCGACTTGGGCTGGTGTACAGGAAGGTGAAGAAGCTCACAGGTCTCCTAGCTGGGTTTGAGTGTGGGGAGAGCGCAGGTCCCAGGGTGCGTCACGGGCTGAAAGGCAACCCAACCGTTTCGAAACTGGGAAATTCTTCCCATCTTAACTTGCAATTAATTTCTTTAATTCCGCGCTATTACGTTATTTTCTCATGTCTTTTTTTTTTCCTTCTAGCAGTTCCCAGCAGAAGATGGAGAGGAAGGGTGAGTCTCACTTTTTCATATTTGTTTTTATGACTGTGATCCTGGTTGGGGTTTTTTGGGGAGTAGAAGGTTCATCGACGTTACCCAGCGGAAGGATTTATCCAGCTGTCCTCTGTCCTTGCCTCCAGCTCGGCCATTAAGAGGTTACCGTACTCCAGTGAGGAAGAGTTTGGCTCCTCTGCCAACAAGATGGCCAGGATGGAAGAGCCCAAGAAAGGTAGGTGCACCTTTAATGCTCCTGAGAATCTCCCCCACACACCTGCGTTTGAGATTCGGCATTTAAGCTTTTGGTCGGAGTGGGGTCATCGTGAGAAAGATCTATTGAACGTTTCCGTCTTCTTTACACCAAGCTACCCCTGAGACCTCTGAGAGATATTTACTCACTGGGCTCTCAGCCAGTATTCATGAGAGTCTGTCTAGCAGACAGACCAGAAGGATGCCACCTTGCGCATCCTTCATCCTTCAAAAGTTTCACCCTGTTGGGTTTAGAAGCCAAGGGTGGCTCATTGAGAAGCTCTGTAGGTCAATAGCAGTGGTCACCCATGGGTCCTAACAGCGTGTCAGGCATTGGTTTGAAGAGGACGTGGTCTTTGTACCTAAGGAAGGCTTATACAACCTTGCTTCTCACATCCTGTGCAGGTTAATGTTGGTCAGAGTACCTCCACCGCATCCCAGAGCAGGACACGAGGGCCTGGCCTGCTTTTTTCAGAACCACCCCCCCCCCGGCACATTCTTAAACTGCAGCATGGAAGCCCCCCCTCTCCCCCCACCTCAGGCACTGGGGCAGAGAGTAATAGGCTTTGCCGAGTAATAGGCAGAGAGTTATGTGCCTTTCCCTATTCAATAGGCGATGTCAAGATCCAGAAAGCGGGATAATTTCGGTTGTCGTTGCTTTTCCTTCGTCTGGTTTCCATCACATAGGGGACGCAGTGTTTCGCCTCCATAATCGCGTGCTGGCCTCCCACCGGGCGCCGTAACCAAAAAGCCGCAGATACGCTTATCTGGGACGTGGCTTTTTGGTAAACGGCTGAGTGAAACGTGGCCTGGTTACACGCCTGCGTGCGCGTGCTCCTCAGTCAAACCGCGTCTCACTGCTTCCTGTCTGATCCCCCTCCACCACGCAGTCCTGCTCTACGTACGGAAGGAGACGGAGGAGGTGTTTGATGCCCTTATGCTGAACACCCCCACACTGAAAGGCCTGCTTGAGGCGGTAAGCTCCTGTACTTTTCAAAAAGATGATGTAGGACACAAGCAGACTGTATCACACGACTATCGCATACAATCAAACGCTGCTCACAGCATCCAATACACTATATCACACCATGTTATCAATCGTGTTAAATCATACATCCACAAACAACTTCCCTGTGTAAAACCCTGTAGCTGAGAGCTGCCGTTCAGCACCGCTCTCGCTCACGGGGGCCGTCCCGGCACGCCTCCTGGGACACTCTGACGGTGGCGGACTAATTGGCCGCATCGAGGCGCCTTCAGCGATGTTGCCCAACACCGTAGCGCCTTCCAACACAACCGCAGTGCCCAGCGAGAGCTTCCCCCCGGGCTTGTGTACGTGGCACCTTTGTGTTATGGTCGCGCTAAAGCATGTGAAATGATTGTCTTTTCCCAGATATCTGACAAATATGAGGTGCCGCTGGAGAAAATAGGCAAAGTCTACAAAAAGTGCAAAAAGGGGTAAGAATATTATTCCTTCGGTCATATACACACTTACACAAAACGTGCGTAAATATCCAACGGCACGTTACATAGATGCCCGTGGCATCAGTCCCATCTAATATCTTGGATTTCTCAACGCTTATCATCAGGATCCTCGTGAATATGGACGACAACATCATCAAGCATTACTCTAATGAGGACACCTTCCAGATTCACATGGAGGAGTTGGGTGTGGGGTACAAGCTCACCCTCACGGAGATCTGAAGAGAGAGGGGAATACAGGCTTCATAACGCCCCCCCCCGGCCAGTTCGGACTGCTGCGGGCCTGCATCGCGGACGGGATTGGGGTTTACATATCGTGTATATAGACCTACCCTCCACTCTGTGCCTACGGTCTGTCTCTGATGTTTTCGCCGCACTCCTCCATCAGCTGAGGAGCCCATTGGTTCTCCTCGTAGCTCAGAGGAGTTCGGGTAAATGGCTGCCGCTGGTCACAAACGAGCTGACCAGTGACGACACAGCGAGCTCCAGTATGTCCGTGCCTTTCCCCCCCATTTCCTGAATAATAGAAAATGGACATTTGGAAGCCCCTTAGATGGACATCCTAGATGGAGGTAGACGTAAAAGTTGTGTAAAAAAACAACTCTACTTTGAATAATCATCACCATCCAGAGCATCGACTGTGGGATTTTTGCAGGACGACATTCAGAAACCGGTCCTTTAAGCCACTCTGCATTTCCCCTACGATTTTTCTTTGTGTCCATGTGGATATTATTGCACTGAAGGAATAACACTTAGGGTATCATGTGTAGGGATTTATTTCGAGTGTCTAAATTTGATTGTATATACAAGCACAGCCAACCGGACCTGACTCAATCTGAAGCATAACATCTTGCAGTATTTAGCCTGTAAACTTTAAGCAGCCATCCTTCTCATATTTCTAACGGTGACATCTTCATTATTTCTGATGTCACCACTTCTGTGATATCCACACGCATGCAGATGGCTATTGAAATGTTGTTGAAGCTGCGTGGGTTTTTTTTTTGTTTGTTTCGTTGAAAGTGTTGTGCTCTTAATATTTGGAATTCGGCCATGTTTTTTTTTTTTTTTGCAGTTTCAGTGAATTTTGCTTACAGTAAATGCATTTGACCTGTACAAGGACGTGCAATGAAGTTCACTCACCATTATATGAGCAGATACCGTCTATAAATCCGTGTCGATATGCATCTGTATAGATCTGTATATATCATCTCATATAAATCGAATGTGTCAGTGTCAAAAAATATATTCTCAATGACTAGCATTTCCTTTTTCTAATTACAAATATTCAGAAGCCAGTGTAGGTCTTTTGAAAATATGTTTTTTTTTTTCTTTTTTTAAATAAAAACCTAACTAGGTTGATTGGCTAGAGCAATTATGCTGAAAGTACGTGATATATTTATTTTATATATCAAGAACAGGGTTGGGGTGTTAAAGAATTATGAATTTCAGAAAATGTTTATTATCATTTAATATTGTATTATTTTGTTTTTATATGGAAATATTACAGAGTGTCGTTTGTATGCTATGGGATTTTTTATTGTTATTTTTACAAGGGGGTGGATCTGCTTCCTTAATGCTCATGGTTAGATGCTTCCATGTGTGTAATATGCATTATGATGAATAAAACCAGCATTTGGACGAATTGCTTGGTTTTTGATTTGGGCTGTGAGTTACCCAGGGGGTGCCGGCTTGGACCAGAATTTATAACCCGATCCCTGGGGGCTGTAACCCGAATCCTGCGGACAGGTAACAGCTCATTGAAAATCTGTAATAACTATCCGCAGTGATTTACATAAGTAAATAAAACAAACATTTTGAGGTGGCCTTTACTACTGTCAAGTCCTGGCAACAAATAGATGGCTTTTCTATAGAACAGAATTACTCAACCCAGTCCACGGGACCCCTTAGACAGTGCAGTCTTTGGCCCTCTCCCAGCTCCCTGCAAACCCAAACTGGGAGCTGGGAACTGGGAGGGAGCAAAAATGTGGACTGGCTGGGAGTCCCCCAGGATTGGGTTGAGAAATAATGTTCTAGAATGTTCTAAAGGATGTGACTGTTTGGAGGGACTTCTTAAGAGATACTTGGAAACTAATAGTTTTGCCAGTTGGGGGAATTGGGGAGGGGGCAGAACTGGGTAGAGGGATCGCAGGGGTCAAAGACCACCAACGCAGGAAGCTCCAGCAACACGGCAACAGTCTGCCATGGATGCAGGAAACATCAAGGGCATCTGCCTCTCTCCATCAGGCTACAGGATTGTCCGTCAATGCCCCCCCTAATTGGTCAACCCCTTCGGGGGACCACCGTGCAGGACATGCCCTGATATCCGAGGCCCCCTTGAGTACTCACACCTCTGGTTCCAAGAACACCGTCCACGTGACTCTGAGGCTCGTGAGGTCTCGTATAACCTCTGGAAGGAAGGTCACGCGCAGCTCCTGACTGACAGGGTAACTCCATGCCCAGATGACAGGATTTATCCAGAACTGTCTGTACAGCAGGAATTTAAAAAACATCCATCACAGAAGGTCAAGCCTTAGATACAGATTTTCTAATATGTTTTCTTCCAAGGGTTTGTGGTGCTTGCGGGAGATTAATGACATAATCCAGAGGAAAATGCTTTCCTGTCTGAACCAATCAAAAGTCCCGTTTTATTCAGTTTTAGCCTTCTGCATTGATTTCATTACATTTATTTCTTAGACTGTGTCCGAATTCAGGGGCTGCGTCCTTCGAAGGCTACATTGGAAGGCTAAATGTGTCCCAGTGGTGCACCAAGGCTGTCCCACCTCAACGGCTCCTTCAAATGCAATGCGTCCTTCTTTTCCCGCCCCATGAAGGATGCACCCAATGGATCCTTTGCAGTCCAAAATATCCCAAGTTTCATTGCACAGTAGGTGTGTCCTGGCTAGGCAACAAGACTAGAAGGGTAAGGGTGGGAACAGCTGGTGACGTAAACAGGAAATTATCCGTAGACCAGACCGTCCCATTTGACAACGTTTTCTGTTCAAACTTTGAATAACGCAGCCTACAGAGGCTACACCTTCGTAGACCACAAAGTATGCAGCCCCTGAATTCAGACACAGCCTTCATTTCACTGACTGAAAGGGCACTTGACTGATTGGCCAATCAATGACTCCGATTCACTTGATTGACTGTCTAGGGACCAGCCGCTGTGGGCAGATCCCGGGTCTTCCCCTGCATTCTCCACCGGTGCCACAAGGGAGAATCAGCACAATGGAATCCTCTGTCTGTCTACAGTCTGCTTGTTCAGCCTCGATAATTACCGTCAGGAACTGGCTTCTGTGTGAAAGTCGCTGTAAGATGCCACAACCCCCAGCCCAGCTCTGTCGCGGCCGAGCTCTAGACACGGTACATCATACGCGACGAGGGTTTCCAAGACAACAGCCAACGAATTAGTGGTAATGAAGTGGAGCATCAGGGTGACAGAGCCGCGCGCGTACGGCACTGATGCAGCGGCTTGGATGAGCCCTGGGCTTTTTTCTGAGAGCGAGTCTGTGTTCCTCTGCTTGCCTTTAGGGAGGCCTTCTTAGCCAAGGTAAGACTAAGTGAGCCACAAGAATATGATGACATCAGCCTACATTGTCAGCCAAACAAGGCTGTTCCGGTCCCTGTCTTTCACACGTACAAAGGACCAAAACAGATGTACGTTCCCATTGCCATCCCTCATTTACCGGAGCCTCGATTTTCATTATTTTATATTTCTTTATTAAACCTTATAGCAGTGTAGCTCAACCCGGTCCTCAGGGATCAACCGGGAGCCGGGAGGGAGCAAAAACACGGCCTGTGGACTGGTTTGAGAAACACTTCATTACAGGGTGTAAATAACATAGAAACACGATGACAGAGGGACACAAACATCAGATAGCGCACAGCATCAGACCATTACACAAGACTGACAGCATTCCGCCGTAACATAAGTGTCTACAAGCTGGTCACCCAGCGGCCATTTAGTATCTACCAGCTAACAACCAGCTTTTTATACACAAGCGGTCACATGGGGGGGCAGGAGATGATGACACCTCCCACTAGGCAGCACCCGCAACCCCACTACCTCTCCATGATATTCAATGGCTTGCAGAACCCCCCCCCCCCTCCCTCCCCGAGTTAGCTTACAGCCTACAGACATTATGGCTCCAAAACGCCACATAACAAAAAGCAAACGAACGAGTAACACGAGAAATTTGGCAGGAACAGCTAAATCTGGGGGGTTTCAACACCAAGATCTACATCCTGCAGTATTTTTTTCAGCCCTTAAGAATGTTTTAGCACAGCGGGAAAACCACACCCCTTTTCACACAATGAAAACATTTTCTGTGTTTCAGCTGAAAAACTAAAAAAAGGAAGTCATTTACAACCCTCAAAAAAACATCGTACAGTGGCTCAAAACTGCGAAACGCTCATCACAGGGCGACGCTTCCTCCCGCGCTGGCAACCGACAGCGGTGGCGCAATTTTTACTGCGGAAGAATTTCACTATCCTGCTGCGAAGACTTTCGCGGGGCAGAGAGATGAGGAGGAGCGCATTGTCGCAGCTGAAATGAAATCCCCATTTTGACTAATTTTCTGCTTGATCACCACAGACACCCAAACACACACAAAGCTGGCTCACAGTCTATCCCCACCGCTACCATGGAGTATCTACACCAGTCTACTGCATTTAAACAATTCATATGCCCCCCTTATAAAACTGAATAACTTAATTCAAAAGCAAATTACTTCTTTACATTCTGCTCCAAAACTACTGCGCCATTTCAAGGTTTGAGAGATCTTTGTAATGCTTTAGTTTAAGGTCTGTTCCTGAACTAATTTGATAATATATTTGTAAACAAAAAGATTCATTTACAATCAAATTTAGTAAAGCATTACAATGATATTTTAGTGATTTAAATGTTGTTTTGAAAATTTTGGGAGCAAGATTTGATCGTAATACATTTCTAAATTTGTTAGTTAATGAATCTTTCTATCTGTTAATATATTATACAATGATTAGTGAAAGTTTATTAATGGTTAAGGAACAGACTGCAAGCAAGCGTTACTGAGATCTTTGTCAGTCCATCAATATACATGCATACATGTGAGATGAAATATCACCTGCCTGCATCCTGTGATGCTTCATTGACACATTTACTAAACAATATGGTACAACATACCACCACTGACACATTGACCAGACAGTACACATACTACAGTTCACATACTACATTTACGCAGTGACTAGACGCTGTGATACATGCTGCACAACATGGGGTATAAAAGGAACACACAGATGAGATACAGCAGTGCAAGAACTCGATGCAAACTGAATTAAAAAGCTCATACAGTGCAGTGAAGCATTGTCCTGACAGAAAACAGCTTTTCTTTGAAAGTGTCCATGTGCAGTGAGTTCGGGATGAGGTCACTGTACAAGTAGGTGGTGGTGGGTGGGAGTGGGCTTTAGTCCTTCCGTGTTCAGGTGCTGGGGAGTGTGAGGCAGCAGGCTGTTGAGGTTCTAAGAACTTTTGCTAAACTACTAAGAATCAGATAAAATCAAACCAAAAAAAAAAAACTTTACTCTGCCCTTTGTACATCCATCCCTGCCAACAGCATTATATAACAATCTTCCAATCACAAGTAAACACAATCGGCCCCAGGTCAGCTAATTACCCCCATATCATAATCATGTGACATCCTCATTTTACTCTGCAACTTCCTAATTCAGTGTGAGAATACACGTTAAGGACATGTTAGCTTGTTTAGGAAAATGTTTAGGAGGACGATTAAATAGGTCAAGTGTCATTACTAAAAACAATGCGTTCAGAAAACATTATATAGTGCTGTGTGGAAGTTGTACACAGTCAAATAAAATATTTAAGGGTGTTTATCTGGGTAGGAAGTATATGATTGCTTAGAAATAAAAACAATTTAAAATGAGAACGTGCAAATTAATAGTAACACAATAAAAAACTAGTAAGAATGTCTTTCTATTCTCCAAAAAGTTACTGAAATCTTGCTGGATGGCTAGACGAACACCGCTTCAGTTCCCAAACCTCTCCTCAGGGGCACCTCGGCCATTCCATGTATTTGTTACATGTCTAAACACGCCAAGCCGCTTATAAAGAATGATAGTGTCACATCACATGACCTGGTCACCTGGCCAAAACACAGTAAAATGGTTTGGGAGGAGTTTGACCAGAGAGTGAAGGAAAAGCGGCCAATGAGTGCTCAGCATATGTGGGACCTCCTTCAGCACAGCTGGAAAAGCATCCCAGGAGGCCACCTCATAGAGGGGACAGTAGGGTCAGCCAGTCCCTGGAGCAATTGGGGTTAAGGGCCTCGCTCAAGGGCGCAATGGTGGGATGACTCTGCTCAATCACTCTGCTAACCCAGGGATTTGAACCAACAACCTTCTGAGTCCCAATCCACAGAGCTGCCCCCCAACAAACATTTTTTTAAATAATTGTTTTTGTCAGTGCATAATACCATACATGTTATTGTATAGTTTTATTTATTGTATAGTCTTTACAATTATTCTAAAATGTAGAGAACAGTACAAATAAACCTTTATATGTCCAAACGTTTGATTGTAACTCCATGTGCTTTTGTAAATCCCTTTATGACATGGACTCGAATTCCAGAATAGTCATTCAGT